TAACTCTGTTTTTCTGATCCTGCACCCTGGTGGATGAGTGGTGTCTCGTTGAGGTGTTGAGTTGCACCCCGTAATGACTGGTGATGGTGGCCATCTTGTCATATGCTTGTTGGCTGTTTGTCTTCTTTGGGGAGACGTCTGCTGGAGTCTCCCGCCCATTTCCTGCTGGGTTGTCTTTCTGTTCTGAGTCGTAGGCATTCTGTATACATCCCAGGTTAGACCCTTATCAGGTATGTGATTTGAATGCTTTTTCCATTCTATTGGTAAATAATTATATTATTAAGAACTAAACTCTGTTGTAGAGTGCCTTCCCAGGTTGCAGGGCTTGGTCGCACTGAAGGCATCCTGAGTGGCGTTTCTGCTTCCTGGGTGCCCACCACTGCCTGGTGCCTTGGTGCTCAGCAGCACATGGGGGTGGGCCAGTGGCCCTGGGGACCTGGTGGTCCTGTCCTTATGAAGGCAGGGGTCAGCGGTCCCCCTTGTTCTGCCCGCCAGGGTCTGGCCCCCACATGACCTGGCCAGGCCACTGGGCAGACGCCAGGTGAGGTGTTGGCAGTAGGCTCACTCAGTCCTTGTTCATCATGCTTTCCAAGCCTCCACCCGTCAGTGCCAGGCAGGCCCTGGGAGACAGCTGGCCCCAGGGACAGGAGCTCTGGTCAGGAAGTAGGTGGCCACAGACACTGCTGAGTGATTGTCATTCCCAAAGGCCTGAGCCCCAGGTCTGACGCCAGCAGAGGGGTCAGGGGAGGGTTCCTTCTTCCTGGAGTGTGGCTCAGCGAGGCCTGAGGAAGGAGCAGGGCTGCCGGGCCGCAGGGAAGAGTGTTCCAGGCCAAGGGAACAGCGTGTGCAAAGTGGGCTGTGGCATGTGTCCTGAGCACAAAGCCAGGGCTCCAGGCAGGGGCCCCTCAGGGGAGCCCAGGAGGGGGAGCTGGGACATCGCATCCATCAGCCCGTCCCCAGGCCACGGACCAGCACACACAGCGGCACCACGTCTGGACCTTCTTAGCACTCTCGTCTCAGCCCCATGACTCCTTCCCCAAACCTCCCCCGCACCCCCCAGGAACCCCAGCCAACTTACTCTTGTCAGGGCCAGCGAGCGGCTGTTTGGGGCCCCCATTTTGGTCTCTGTCACAGGGCAGTCTGTCCTTGTAGGCGAAGGAGGCTCTGGATGGCACAGCTGAAAGCTCTCACATCCAAAAAGCTGGCACTTTGCATCCACCCGGCAACGCCTGGGAA